CTGTAAATGAAGGTAGTAGTTTTGCTACAAATCCCAGCCCACCAAGTCAGGTTTGCAAGCCATATGAATCACTTCAGTTTCTTTAAATCGACTCGATTTTGTCGTGAGTCCCCAGGCTGTTGGTCAGGGCTAGAATCCTGAAGGTTTAGAGAAAGCTCAGGAAGCAGGGTGAGGCCTGACAAACTCCTTGCCCAGGGGCCTCTTGAAGTCTGAGGCTCCTGCTTCCTGAACACATTTAGGATGCAGGAAATCTGTCAAGGCTGGAAACCTGGGGCCCAGGGTCTCAACTCCCATCCCTGCCAAGGCCTTGGCATCTCCCTGCTGAGGAGTGGTGCTAGGGCCTGGCTGCTCAAGACACTCACTGTTGTCTTTCCCTTCCCAGGTTATCTCCTCTCTATTTTCTGGCCTTTCTTGGCCACACTCCTGCCCTGGCCATCAGGGAACCTGGCATCCTCTCAGTTTTGGGCTGGTGCCTTCGTGAAGCTTCTGCTGCTTACTTATAGCACGGGTATTGATGAAAGGAGGACAGTGGATAAAGGAATGTTGTTGTTGTTGTTGTTAGCTGCTGAGAGTCAATTCTGACTCATGGTGACCCCATATGTGCAGAGTAGAACTGCTCCATAGGATTTTCAAGGATACGACTTTTCAGAAGCAGATCACCAGACCTGTCTTCTGAGGTGTCTCTGGGTAGGTTTGAACCACCAACCTTTTGATTAGTAGTTGAGCACTTAACCAGTTGTGACACCCAGGGACTCCATGGGAGAAAGAATGCAGATCACTATTTTTATCAATTACCCCATTGCATGTTGTTGCTGTGTGCCATCGAGTTGCCTCTGATTCACAGCAACCTTATGTGCAACTGAATGAAACACTGTCAGGTCCTGTGCCAGCGTCATGATCCCTACCATATCTGAGCCCATCACTGTAGTCACTGTGTCAATCCATTTTGTTGAGGACCTTCCCCTCTTTCATTGACCCTCCACTTTACCAAGCATGACATCCTTTTCCAGAGAATGGTCCCTTCTAAAAACATGACCAAAGTAGGTGAGATGAAGTCTGGCCATTTTCGCTTCCAAGGAGCACTCTGGCTACACTTCCTCCAGGACAGATCTGTTAGTTCCTTTAACAGTCCATGGTACTTTCAGCATTCTTTGCCAACACTACAACTCAAAACATCAGCTCTTCTTCGGTCTTCCTTATTTATTGTCCAGCTCTCACATGCATATGAAAATACCATGGTTTGGGTTAGGCAAACCTTACTTAGTCTTCAAGGAGACGTCTTTGCTCTTCATCACTTGAAAGAGGTCTTTTGCAACAGATCTGCCCAATGCAATACATCTTATGAAGTCTTGACTGATGCTTCCATTGACATTGATTGTAGAACCAAGCAACTTCAATCTTTTCTCCATTTATTGTGATGCTGCTTATTGGTTCAGTTGTGAGGACTTTTGTTTTCTTTATGTGAAAGTGTAATCCATACTGCAGACTATAGTCTTCATTCTTCATTAGTAAGTGCTCCAAGTCATCCTCACTTTCAGCAAGCAAAGTTGTGTCGTCTGCATATCTCACGTTGTTAATGATCCTTCCTCCAATGCTGATGCCATGTTCTTCTTCATATAGTCCAGCTTCTCGGATTATTTGCTCAGCATACAGACTGAATAAGTATGGTGAAAGGATACAACCTTGACGACTCCCTTCCTGATTTTAAACCCTGCAGTATCCCCTTGTTCTGTTCGAATTGCAGCCTCCTGGTCTATGTACAGGTCCCTCATGAGTAAATTCAAGTGTTCTGGAATTCCCATTCTTCTCAATGTTATCCACAATTTGTTATGATCCACACAATCGAATGCCTTTACATAGTCAATAAAACACAAGTAAACATCTTTCTGGTATTCTTTGCTTTCAGCCAAGATCCATCTGACATCAGCTATGATATTCCTCGCTCCACGTCCCCTTCTGAATCCAGCTTGCATTTCTGGAAGTTTTCTGTCAATACACTGCTACAGCTGTTTCTGAATTATCTTCAGTAAGATTTTACTTGCGTGTGATATCAATGATATTGTTCAACAATTTCCACATTCTGTGGGATCACTTTTCTTTGGAATGGGTACAAATATGGATCTCTTCCAGTCAGGTGGCCAGGTAGCTGTCTTCCAAATATCTTGGCATAGCTAAATGAGTGCTTCCAGTGCTGCATCCATTTGTTGAAACATCTCAGTGGGTATTCCATTAATTCCTCCGGCCTTGTTTTTCACCAATTACTTCAGTGAAACTTCGACTTCTTCCTTCAGTACCACTGGTTCTTGATCATATGCCACCTCCTGAAGTGAATGATCATCTACCAATTCTTTTTGGTACAGGGACTTTGTGCATTTCTTCCATCTTCTTTTGATGTTTCCAGCATCGGTCAATATATTGCCCATGGTTCTTCTGGGCCCTGCACACTTACCTGGTCTACCCCTGGGGTACCTCCACACATGCCCACCTGCTGCTGGTCCCAGGCTGGCTTACTGCGGCTTGCCCCTGGGGCACCTCCACACTCACAAGCACACCAGCAGAAGGCAGGTGTTTGCGTGCGTGGAGGCGCACCCCATTGCATAATTAAAATAAAATAGTGTTACTTACCTTTGAAGTCACTTTAGCCTCTGTCCACCCCTTAAATGTTCCCACAGTTCTCCTCCTTGGTCTTTTTCTCATTTCACACATTCTTCCTGAGTGATCTCATCCAGGCCCAGGGCTGCAACTCTGTGATGACTCCCAAGCCCTTTTCTCAACCATCTATGTGTGTGTGAGAGCTCCACCAGACTGCTGCCTGGAAATTACTGTTAGTGTCCTAAAGTTACCACATCTTAAACTGAACTCCCAAACCAGAAGCTTGGGAATCTCCTGAATCCTCTCTCTTCCTCACTGCCCCTCTCTTTAATCAGTTATAGAGTCAGGCCAGGTCCACCTCCTAATTAGCTTTTCACTATTCCCCATCCCCTACTTCTGCCCCCACTGCCACATCAGTTCAGGTCCCCACACTCCTGACCTGGATTCCTGCTTCCTTTCTGGTTTCTCTGTCTCTGAATTCTCCCCATCTCAATCGTCAGAGTGACCTTCTAAAGGTGAATCTGCCCAGGTTCTCACTTGGATCAACATTCTCGAGTAGCTTTGCTTCCATGATGTAGTAGATAAAGCACTTGGCTGCTAACCAGAAGGTCACAGTTCAAATCCACTAGCTCCTCCAAGGAAGGAGGATGGGGCAATCTACTTCTCTAAAGATTTACCCTTCTGGAAACCTAACGGGGTTTGCTATGAGTTACAATCGACTCTATGGCAGTGAGCTTGGTGAGTTTATGCTTCCATTTTAGCATAAAAATCTTAAATCCTCAGCTAGCCAACAAGGCTCTTCAGTCAACCTAGCTCATGCAGACCCTTTGTGCAAATTAGAAAAAGGTGCTCCCTCTAGGCAAACAAAGGTCCCAAGTGGCACAAGTAGTTTGTGCTGTCTACTAACCTAAAGGTTGGTGGTTGAAATCCACCCAGTGGCACCTCAGAAGAAAGGCCTGGCCTTTCTTAGAAAACCCTATGAAGCAGTTCTACTCTTTAACACATGAGGTCAACATGAGCCAGAATTCACTTAAACATAGTTTTTTTTCTCTTATCTACGTCAGAAACCCAAGGAGGGGGCTCTATGAGTCTGTCTGACTGGACCTCACATAACAACAAACAACATGCTGACATGGGGGAGCTCTGATGGCATAGTGCCTAAGGCATTTGACTGCTAACTAGAAAGCTGGAGGTTCAAACCCACCATCCATTCTTCAGAAGGAAGATTGGGCAATCTACTTCTGTAGAAACACCACCTCAGGATAGTCATGAGTTGAATCCAGTCAATGGCAGTGAGGCTTTTTTTTTTTTTTTTAATGCTGACATATAGCTCTGGCAGAGCTTGGCAAGTGGAGGGTGAGCTTTCTCAGCCCAGTCACCCCTGCTCCCTTAGTCTAGTGCACAACATGGTGAGCCACACAGAGTTTCCCTGCTTCCTGATGAGCCCAACTGCTTCTTTCACTTCATAGGCCTCAGCTCCTCTATCCCCTTCGCTCCTCATCCACACTCTAAGCTCCCCACTGCTTCTAGAACCTGCCTGTTGTTTTGCCATCTTGTTATTGTACAGCCAGTCACCAGGGCCTTAAGTTCCTTCTCATACCTCCCAAATTTCTCTGGCACTGCTTTGCCCAGCCTTGGCTGTCTTTCAGCCTGGGTCAGCTTCACGTTTTCCTGTCCTGGGTGGTAGCTCTTATGGCAGCGATTCAGTTGCTATTGGATTACTTGTCTAGATTAGGGCATCCTCCAGCGAAGGGATTTGAATTCTCAGCCACAATGCTTGGCAGTAGTAGGTGGTAAAGTGCTTATTGAACAAATGAAAATAGGGAAGTGTGAGTGAGTGAATGAGTGAATGAATGGCGGGTGATAACTGGCTCTCAGTAAACAGTAGGAGGCGCTCACCAAAAGTGGGCTCTTTCTTCTTTCTACCGGCCCGCATTCAGCCCGCCAGCCCCCAAGAAGAGGCTGGAGTGGGAGGAGGGGGAGGTAGTCCCTGCTCAACCAGCCGGCTGTAGTGCACAGAGAGGGAGAAGGGTCGTGTAGGAGAGGGGGCTGCGTGGGAGGGGCTGCGTGGGAGGCTCGCCTCCTTTCATTCTTTCACCGTGGGGTCTCCAGGAATGAAAACTGTCCTCAGCCAGGCCGGCGCGCGCGCGGATAAAAGCGGCACTCGGACTTAGAGCGGACCCTCCTCCTGCCGGGGCTGAGGAAACTGGCAGCGCAGGGGGTGTCTTGCCACTCCGGCGTTGCGAAGCAGGAGAAGGGGAACAGCCTTGCCTCTCCAGCGAATTCTCCCACCGGCCACCCACCCCTGCTAATACCTTACTATTGCAGTATACGGTCCCATCGGGACTCTTGGGTTAGAATCTCGAATCCCTTCTTCTATCTTTCCCCTCTTTCCTTTAGTTCTTGGTATGCCCCAGGGGACAGATGTCTTGGGATCTTTAACATTTGGGATGCTGCAAATGCCGAAGTTAAATGAAATACCTCCGGGGAGGGAAGACAGGGAGGAGACTCCGGGAGAGGGAAAAAGGCCTGGACGGACAGGTCCTGAAGCTGCGAGGCAGGATTGGGGGTCGCGGGGGCTTTTGGGCGGCGCCAGAGCTCCCTGGGACAGGTAAGAAGGAAACTTAGGGGGACTCAGGGCGGGTGAACTGGAGGGATCAAGCTCGTGAATCCACGATCTTCGACCTTATGGAGAGGGCCCTACAATGAATGGGGTGATTTTATCAAGGTGGTGAACATTTTAGGTGCTTACCAAAAATACATATTTCCAACTCCCCAACCTTTCTCGTTCAACCTTCCTCATGCATGTGGATTCCCTGGCCAGGTTCCGGGAAGCCAGAATGCAGCCAAACAAAAGGAGCAAAGTCCCAGGCTGGCCTGGGCGTGGAGGGCGCGATGGGGGAGGGGAGCAGGGTGGACTGGACAAAGGGGCTTTTGAAAAAAAGCCTAGAGGTCTGATTTCAGGATGCATTCCAGGCTAGTGGGGAGTTCCCCTGACCCAGCCCACTCCACCGTCGCTTGGTGGAGGCAAACACCTTTCCCTGTGGGCAGGAAACTGCCCTCCCACCTCCTCCGCGCATGAAGGGTCCCGGGACATTTCCCTTCTTTTTTTTTTCTTTCTTCGTTGTTGGCTTCAGCACCGTGACCACTGATTCGTTAATTCATTAAGTAAAATTTTAAAAGTGCCACAAACTTTGCTGGGTGCTGTTGAGGATGTGGAGATGGTAAAACTAGACCCTTGCTCTGAAGAACTTCCAATCTCTAGTGTATCAGAAGACGATTTAAAGAAAGAACTTAAAAAAGAAAGAAAGACAGACTGTAGGGCTATGGAAGGGTTTTCTGATCCAGAACTCTTCCATAGAAAATGAAAACCCTAAAAGAAATGCAGCTTTCTTCTTGGGGGGAGGGCTCTGGATCAGATTCCAAATACTGTAAGGTTTGTGAGGAAAGCCCACTTCCTCACCAACTGGGGGTCTTGGTGATGATGCTGTGGTGTTTTGGGCTGGGGAAATAGTCTCTTGAGCTTAAGACTGTCTGGCTTTGAGGCCCAAATCCTCAGCTGAGCTCTGGAGTGCTCACTTCATCCCTGGTGGGTTGGGTGACTTGGTCACCAATGGAGGCTCTCTGGAGTTCTTGGTGGGAGGATTGGTTTGCCAGCCCCATTCCAAACTTTAAACTCAGATTCTGCTGGGTTTAGAAATGCTGAGTGTGAATTGGGGGAGCAAAGGGTCATTTGAGAACTCTAGATCAATGCAAACAGTGAGGTTAAACATCTGTACACCTGCTCCTCACTTATTGATTTTCTCCTTATCTGACACTTCACATTTATGATAATAGTAAAAAAAATCTGTCTGTTTTGTACATTAGTGATGCCTGGCAGTAATAATGAACTCTGAGGTGCAAGGTGAGAGTAACATTGGCTGTGATGGTTAAGGTCATATGTCAACTTGGCTGGGCCATGATTCTCAGTGGCTTGGCAGTTGCATAATGATTAATTTGGCATCATGTCCTGGTGTAGTCATGCTCCATTTTGTGATCCAATGTGATCACCCTCCATTTTAAATAAAAGCCAATTTTTGCATAACGACCTGGTCTTTGGAACCTAACCATGCTGATAAGTGAGGAGTAGGTATCCTCTCCCCTGAACTCAGAGATTAGAATTACCAGCAGACAGGGGTTCTTCACTGGGTCTATGGCACCAAGGCACCTGTGGATTTAGAGGGTTTGCAAATTTATGTGGAAAAAAAATACATCATTATTTTTCATTTTAACAGACATATAGCATTGCCTTCAGTGATGAAGGCAACAAACCATGGCAGCATTAGCAGTATCTGTGACTTTACCACTAATAGAATTCACAGATATTTTTATATCACAGTACAATTGTTGCAGATGTCTCAAAATATAGTTTGCACTTTAGCACTTCTATGACATTACAGTTGTTATTAGACCTACTGCTAGAGTCTGTTTAATATTAATAGAGACATATATCCCCCTCTTTTTTTTAAAAAAAAAAAAAAGAGCTATATTTCAATATAATAGGCTCTTTTAGTGGTTCTCTATTTTGTTTTTTACATTTGTAAGAACCTGGTGCCGGGGAATGGGCAAAGTGGAGGAGGAGGCCATTTATGCCCAGAGTCAGCCCTCTGTTTGACTTTGGAAGAATGTGCTGCACCTATGGGGGTGGGGAGGGACTGTTATGTTGTGGAGGGCTGGGGGAAGGGAAGGGCTGCTGGCGCTTTGAGAGACCCTGAGCACTGCTCTCTGCCACTGAAGACAGCCCTACCACTGGCCAGCCTGAAGGACTCCAGCCGCTAGCATTGTTTGGAAAGGGTGTGTACAGGAATGTGAAGGTGTGCTGTGTGTATGGGGAGAGGGGGTCTTACAAAGAGGAGGAGATGGGACAGGAGCTCTTCAGTGATGCTTGGAGGAAGCCGACTTCATCATCTCTGCACTAGGGGGTGGGGAGCGGGGTCTTTCGAGGCTGGGGGATGGGAAACAATCCAGAGCTGTGCTGAGGTGCAGGCATCTCAGGGAGGTCCGTCTCTTCGGATGGGACCTCTGCAGGTGGGGTTAATGGAGGAGAGGTTCAGAGAGTAGGACGAGAGTCCAGCTGGCTGGGGACAGGTGATGGGCAGTGTCAGCCCTGCTTCCCCTGCTGTGAAATAGGCTGGTTTCCAGTTTTCAGTTTGCTTGAGAGTCAAGGAGGTAGGAGACTTGAAGGCTTATTTTTATTTATTTATTTAAAAACAAGTTTCATTTCGGTCTGTGGTCCCGCATGTTTGAAGACTTAGAGCCTGAGATCACAGTGGCCCTCCTGCAGAGGATGGGACTGGACTTGGTTTCTAGTTAGTGCCCCATGGTCCATGTAAACAGTAAATGAGGAAGTGATGGTTTTGACCTTCTCAGGGGAAAGTGTCTAGACTAAAGGAAGAGACCAGCCTTGCCCTCTCCAGACCCTAGGGTGCCCTAGGTGAAGTCCCAGGGTTGCTGCCTTGTTTGAGGTTTTTAAATCCTGATTTGGGAGCTACAAACTCAGTCCTCAGTTTCCATTTCAGTGTATGGGGTAGAGCAATGACCCATTCCTGGCAGTTTACAAGTTCCTTGGTGGGGTGGTATTCCTCATGGATGATGAACTTTCACCCTGCTTCTGGGGCCCTTGCATACTTCAGTTTCTGCAAAGGGAAACTGAGGTATAAGGAGGGCAGTGACTATCTGAAACAGGGCAAGAGGGCACTTGGGGACCTCCAGCTCAACATGCTGCAACTGTGAAGTCAAGATCCCTGCCACCTTCTGAGCCTCCTCTCTTCTCTGTTCCCGGAAGTGCAGAGGCCCAGGAGCTGCCTGCCACAGCCTCTGGGATTAGTTCAGGGAAGGAGTTGCTCACCTGCTCCTCCCCTCTGACTCAAGTTATAACAAGCAACCTGGTTCCCCTGGCCCGGCAGCCTTAGAGGGACGACAGGGAGGACGTGCGGGTGCCGGAGGAACTAGACTAGTGTGTGGAGAGCTAGAGCCAGCTTGAAGAGAGCACAAGGTGGCTGACCTGTGGTCTGGGAAATCCTGAGGCGACATGCGAGCTCCTTCGGACCTTTGACCTGAAAGCAGGCTTTTTCCGGACTCTGGACAAAAGCCCAAAAGCAGGTGAGGGTGGGGCAGGTGGAGCGGGCTTTGAGCGGAAGGGCAGGCTGGCCCGGTAGTGAAGGGAGCTTGCGCAGTGGCTGTTGTCACTACCCCTACCTGCTCATGTCAGGGGCACAGAGATGAAAAGAGGTGGCCCAGATGGGGGTGCCTGTCCCTGTGGTCCCCTAGGAGAAAGGGCAAGCAGGGATGAGCTTGGAACAGAGAGGTCCAGGACCTGGCTTTGGGGGCACATCTTTGATGAGGGAGGATCCCCTGAGAAAAGATGTGCTGGTTTTTCTCCTTGTCCTTCTACGCCCTTTTCTGGGAGGCAGGTGGGCTGTTTCTTAGGTTCCAGTGCCGGGGCAGGCAGTGAGAAGAGCAGAAGCCCCTGGACTGTGGCGGACTGGGAGGCCCAGGAGGAATTCCTGTGTTGCGAAGGGGGTGAGATGGTGAATTGCCTTTATTTAAAAGTAAGGAGCTCTGGTGGCATAGCGGGTAAGGCATTTGGCTGCTAGCCAGAAGGTCGCAGTTTAAACCCACCAGCTGCTCCTCAGGAAAAAGATAAAACACTATACTTCCATAAAGATTTATAGCCTTGGAAACCCAGTGGGAGTCTCTATGATTTGGAATCTACTCTATGGCAGTGGGCAAAAGCAATGCCTTAGATACCTGAGGCTCTGAAGACCTACCCCCTCATGGGACCTATGCCCTGGCTCTCAGATTCTGAGGAAGGTCCCCTACAACCATGGAGGAAGGGCAGTTTGGCAGGGGCAGATGAGTGGCTGCGTGGGTTTCTTGCCCAGCCTGACATTGCCTAAGTGGTTAGGATTCAGGTTGGGAGAGGGCCTCAGACACTGTCTAATTTTCAGTGTATGAGGAAAGAGCCCAGAGAGGTGAGGTGTTTTTCCCAAGGTAACACAGGTAGCAGTGGAACTCGAGTCCCAGCTGTCAGATCCTGTGCTTTTTCCCCTGATTGGAACAGCATAGATCCAGCATCAACTTAACTAAACTCACTGCCATTGAGTCGGTCCTGACCCATAGCAACCCCTCTTTGGGTTTCCAAAGCAGTATCTCTGCGGAAGTAGATTGCCCAATCTTCCTTCCAAGGAGCGGGACCACTGTAAGTTGCAGTGCCTCCAACTCAACCTTGGAAAGTGAGGGTCTGAGCAAACTGGAGACAGGGCTGTGTATGGGGGAGAAAAGAGGAAAGCTAAAGGGGCTGTGTCCTCAGCCCCACCTCCTCTTGCCTCTATAATGGCCTACTCCTCTCTGCAACAGTCTAGGAGCTCCTGAGAAGCAAGACTTGAGGTGTCACAACTTTCCAAGCAACCCCTTAGAGATTAATAATTAATTAGTGAGTATGACTAATTAATGGCCTTCCTCTCCTAAATCACTTCCTCCCCTTGTTCTTGTTGCTAGCTGAGACTGCCAGTTTCCCAGCCCTGGCTGGACCTTGATCCTGGTTTCTAGGGAGGATCAGAGGATGCTCACTCCAAGGCGGGAGCTCAGTGGGTAGGAGGAGGGGTTAGCTGGCTGCTCCTCTGTCATGTTCTTATCTCTGGGGAGTGAGGAATGGGAGTGATTGAGGGCTTGGGAGGGGTGGCCAGGACAGAAGTAACTCTTAACCTAAGTACCTGGACTTCTATGGCATGTTTGCAGACTCCATATAAACCATAAACCTTTTCTTTTTCTCCCCTCCTCAAACTCTACCATTCATTCTGTAGACTTCCTTGCAGAACTGAAATCCCAAAGTGCAAGATACACATTCCTTTCAGGGCTGTATTTTAAACTGTTGTCCATGGTACCTTGATAGTCCATGCTGTTTGTGTAAGTGGAAAAAACGTCTCGATTGTTCTTGCTGTCTCGATACCAAAACCAAACCAAACTCACTGTCGTCGAGTCGGACCCAACTCATAGCAACCCCTCCTTGGTTTCTGAGGCGGTATCACTTCGGAAGTTGATTGCCCAATCTTCCTTCCAAGGAGTGGCTGGTGGGTTTGAACTGCCAGCCTTCTGGTTAGCCTTAGGCACTACGCCACCAGAGCTCCTTAGACAGGTGTTATTGAGACCTGGCTGCCTACAGTCCACTCTCCCTCTCTGCCTTGCTTTGTGATTAGCTTTTTTAAGGCCTACTTTTCTTCCTTGTTAGCTGAAGGCAGAAGGGTGAAGCCCCACCCCCCTTCCCCCACTGAGGAGGCAGGATAAGCTCCAGACAGAAACTCAGAAGGACTTTTGGACTCTTGCTCAATGGGGCTGACTCAGTAAGGAGGTGGCAGGGCTCTCCCTCCAAACTGCCTGCCTGGGCTCTACCTGCCCCTCCCCACCCCTCCTCCAGCCAGCAGCTGCCAGCTCTGGCCAGCTGGAACCCTGACCAGGGATGTGGGTTCAGTGGGGAGAGAAGAGGCGGGCAGCAAGTGTTGTTTTGGTGTCTGGTCAGGTTGACACACAACTGAGACTGTTGCACCCATACCACTTAAGTGCTCTTGAGCCCCAGGGAGGGAGAGGAATCTATAGTCTTTCCCTGTCCTCAGGCTGCTTCTTCCCTGATGTCCCTTCTACTTCCTGTATGTAGACATACCGCAGGTCCAACCTGGCTGTGGGGCATAGAGGATCTAGGCTGACTCACTCTTTAGGGGTCTTCTAGATATAGTTGGTGGTCCAGTTGCTGTTTCAGGGCTTTGGAACAGCTCTCTGGGGTCACAATGACAGTACTTGACTTTGGGTGAATGATTGGTTCCAGAGAACAGGGCATCCTGGACTATGGGGGCCCAGACCAGGGCCTTGGCTCACTTCCCTGAGTCTAGCCCCTTCCTGAAGTGCCCTCACCCCCTGGGGCACAGGATGAGCATCATGCCCCAGGGTTTTTCATTTGGGGACACTCGGCCTGCTCACCCTGTCCCACGCAGACACCTTTTTCTTCCTCCCTCACTTTGTCCTCCCATCCCACATTTTAGCTCTCTTCATTCTCTCTCTTTGCTCTTCCTTGCCCTTCCCCTCAGACTTGGGGGCTCTTGTGGTCACTACTATCAACCCCTTGGGCTGAGAGGACTTTGGCCTCAAAACCTCCCTCCTGAAGCAGGGCCAGTGGGGAGTTGGGGTGGGTGGCATTCCCCCAAGACCAGGGTTTGGTGGTGAGGAGGCCTTCTCCTGCAGCTTCCCCAGCACTGATAACCCACACCCCAGGTCCTCCCAGAAACGCCATTCTCACTTCTACTTCTTCTGTCTTCAAGCATCTAATTCCTAAGTTCAAAGGGCTGACATAGAGTTTTTTGGTGTTTTTTTTTTTTTTTTTGGTGACTGTTGTCTAAAAGCTGGGGAAACTCCAAACCACCTACACATCCTGGTCCAGGCTGGGAGCTGCATCACCCTTCCCTACTCTGTGTCCCCTCCTCCCAGAAATCCACCATGGAGAGTAAGGATGAGGTCAGTGACACCGATAGCGGCATCATCCTGCAGTCTGGTGAGTGGCTGGGGAACCCCGCTGGCCACCCCCACCCTTGACTACCTGAATTCCACACTGGCCAGGCTGAGACTCCCTAGGATGGGATGGGGAGGGGTGTGTGGAAGGGGAGAGGGGGGCTTTTGCTGGGAGTGGTGGAGGAGGCTAGAAGGACTGCAACCTATAAGAAGGATGGAGCTTTCTTTCTTCCCTGAGCGCTCTTGCCTGGAGTGTAAGTCCTGTGTCTGGAACAGGAATGTGCAGTGTTCTGCCTTAGGCCCAGTGATTAGCAAACCCATTGCCTTCTAGTCTTCCAACTCTTTTTTTTTTTAATTTTTAAAGTGAGTTTATTAAAGAATGCTTATAGGAAGGCAACAACTTCTTCTTCTTCTTCTTCTTTTTTTTTTTTAAATTTTATTAGGATTTGGGTGAAGATTTACAGAGTAAATTCACTTTTCATACAGCAGTTCACATATACTTTGTCTCATGTCATTGACCAAAATTTACAATGCAACAGCTCCCCTCCCACTTCCTCCCCATAGTTACCTCCTCCCAGTGTCCATCCCTTCATACTCTTCTGTACCCTGAGCTATCTCCCTGTGCATAAGCAGCCCTTCCTTCTCCCATGATTGTTCTCTCCACGGCGTGTGTCTACTTGAGGTAAATGTTTAACTCACATGCCTGTACTTTGTTTGTCTGGAAACCACAGTTGTGGGTTCAATTCCAGACCTGAAGGGCAGCTAGAGGCCATAATCTCAGTGGTTCCACCAGGCTCTATTGGACCAGCAAACCTGGTCCCCACCTTCTTTTTTTTTTTGGCGGAAGGCAACAACTTCTGATTTGTCATTTTAAAAAAGTTAAGTTTCTTCATGCTGTGTAATGAAAGTGATATAAGAAGCTGCAGAGTTATAAGCTTCTTTCCACTGGAATTTTCTGATAGTGCAGCACAGTGTAGTCATTTCTGCATTGCTAGAATAAATTTAAAAAGTCTTTTCTATGCTTCTCTTCAAAAAGCAACAAATAATAATTGAAGATGGCATGAAAAAGCCACTTTTTCTATTTATTCTGTAGTATTAGAGACATTTTTACCATCACAGACCACAATTTTCCTTTTTCTACTTTAATAAGCTCTGTCACCGCTCTGAATTCAACATCATTCAAAACAAAAGTCCACACATTATTGCAGAATCTGTATGTGTTTAGAGAGCCCCTGAAATTGACTCTGTTCCTGACTCTTTGAGCCAATGCTAAATTTATAGCCTTATCAAACTGAAGTGGAACTTGAAGGGTAATTTGGGAGTGATCTGTTGAGACCATATGAGTTCATCTAGGTTCTTCTGAAGACTGTTTCCCAAAGGATATTTCTATAAAACTGATGTGCTTTGGGTTAGGTAAAGAAACTGTTTTTCTTATTCAGGCTTGCATTGATGTCCTGTTGGGAAGGTGCTTCCCTATGCTGAGCAGAGCAGACAGAAGCTCAGCCCAGTCTTCCAACTCTTATCACTAAAAAAATCTTATCTGGCCAATGTAAAAGTCCTGTCTCTTTGATTGGCCTAAGTTGGTGGGCCTGTTCTGGCCTAGTCTTGACAAGAGACAAGAAAGAAGAGGTGTGTGTGTGTGTGTGTGTGTGTGTGTGTTGAGAGAGAGACAGAGACAGACAGAGAATGAGAGAGAGACAGAGAGAGAGAGGTGCAGGAGGCATTAGTTGTAGTGCATCAGGATGAAAGGTGGAAGAGCACAGGAGAGGAGCCCTGACCTGGCAACCTTCTTCCTCCACTGTAGGTAGCCTTGTAAGGCAGCCCATCCCTCTGAGCTATAACGTTGCCACCTCTGGGCAGCTAGGAGACTTGGTGTTTTATGGTTATGACACAGGCCATAGCAGCAAACCCCTAAATTGTGGGCAGCCTTGAGGGTATATGTGTGTGGACCCCCCTGGGGGATGGTCAAGAAGTGCCCGAGAGAGGTTTCCCTGCCTCAGCTCCCCTGAGGGTATGGTGCCTATTGTGCTCTCCCCAGGCCCAGACAGCCCTATCTCCCCGATGAAGAAGCTGACCCATGCCGTGCGCAAGCAGCAGCGGGCCCTGGAGGAGCGGCTGGAGGCCTGCCTGGAGGAGCTGAGGAGAATTTGCCTGAGGGAGGCGGTAAGAGCCTCGGGGACCCCCATCTAGCACACATAAACTTGGGGCTGCTCCTTAGTGTTAATTTGGAACCTCATTTGGGATGTTAGGGCTGAGGTCTTCCCTGTTCCTGAGGGAATTCTGGAAATCAGACTGGGGTAGAGTGGACAAAGACCCTCTGTGTGCAGCCTCTTGACCTGAGCCCTAGACAAGACTTAGGAGAGGAGAGTTAACTGGTTGGAGGCCTGGGCGCAGGAAGGGAAAGACAGGGAGAGGTCACAGATTGTAATTAGGACTAGTGTAGCTCTCTGTTGAAGGAGACCTAGTGATGCATTGCTTAAGCACTTAGCTGCTAACCAGCAGGTTGGCAGTTTGAGCCCACCCAGTGGCTCTGCAGGCAAAAGACCTGGTGAGCTGCTCCCATAAAGATTACAGCCAAGAAAACCCTGTGGGGTAGTTCTACTCTGTCACATGGGGTCAATATGAGTCAGAATTGACTCAACAGCACCCAACAACAATAGCTCTCTGCAGGAAGTGAATGGGAGAAGGTTGAGGGGAAGGGGGAGACATCTTAGCCATAAGAGTGCAGGATGAAAGCAAGACAGACAGACATGAGTGATGGGAAGAGGGTGAAACAGGGACAGAGGTGTAAGTTGTGTATCAGGGGCTCTTGGAAGACAGGGCTCTTCATAGTGCTGGGGTCAGTGGGCCAGGCTACTCTTGGTTGACTAAGGGCTAGACCAGTGGAGAGGGGCCTGGCTTGACTTTGCTTCTACCCCAGGAGCTGACGGGCATCTTACCAGCAGAGTATCCCCTCAAACCAGGGGAAAAGGCTCCCAAGGTCCGCCGCAGGATTGGAGCTGCTTATAAACTGGATGAGCGGGCCCTGCACAGGGAGGTGAGAACTTTAGGAAACCTCACTCCCCAGAGGTTTATCACTGAGCCAGTGGCTCCCAGACTAGAGGGAATACCTTAAGGCACAGTACCTCAGTACCTTTATCCCAGAGCTCTGGGAGTCACACCCCACCCTATCACACCTAATAAGAGTGCTTGGCCCCATGTCCCATGGAGAGGGACAGGCAAGGGGCACACTAATGTGAATGGCCATAAGATGGGTGGGTCACTCCAGGAACTAAGGGAGGTGGACTCTCAAAGGAGGACCCTGATTTGATCCCCAGTGGGCAGAAGATCAGTTAATAGCTGCAGTCACCAACCCTGAAAGGCAGTGGCCTGTTCTGACAGGTTACTCTGGCCCCTAGGGCTGTCTTCACCTTCTTGGCATAGAAGCAGGGGAGTGGGGGTGGCTGGGGTCATGTGAATGGTGGAAGTTTCTCATGGGCAGCCACTTGGCTCACCAGCCCAGCCCTGTGTGGTCAGGAGGGAAAGTGCCCCACTTTAGTTCCTGCCCTACCTGGCTCCGTGGGCAGGCTCGTGGGTGGGTTCCCATGCCTGCTTTTCAGGCTGATGGAGGTGGCTCAAGTTTGCTCTGGGGCACCTCCCATCACTCCACCCTTTGCCCTATGTCCATAGACACTGCTGTGTCCTTCCCCTTCGCTGACCCTTGGGCAATGGGTCAAGGTATTCTCTGTCCCCTGGATTAACTGTTCCCCCTCTCCCTGAGCCCAGGCCTCACTCCCACCCCTCTCTCAGGACCCCATGAGCAGCCTGGAGCAGGAACTGGCCCTGCAGCTACAGATCACAGAGGCAGCCCGGCAGCTGTGCCGGGAGGAGAACATCAGCAGGCAGGCCCGGCGGCAGCGGAAGCATGCCATGCTGCAGGAGGAGAAGAAGCTCAGGGAGCTGGAGCGTTATGTCGGGGAGCAGCGACGCAACAGTGGGCCACCTCCTGCCCCTGCCCTCCCCCTGGGCCAAGGTGAGTCAGTCTGTTTCCAGACTCCCCATCCTGGGCCCTGTCAGCCTTATGTGAGCTTCTATGGGATGGGGAGCAGCTTGGCTCCATTTGCTTAGCACTGCCTGCTATGCCTAACACTGTGTTTAATGTTCCTAATCAGCTCCAGCCAGGTTAACCTGCTTCTGGGGCCTACCTCTAACCAGTTTCTGCTGAAATGACTCTGACTCTTGGCAACTTCATGTATGTCAGAGTAGAAGTGTGCTCCGTAGGCTGAAAAACGGCTGATTTTTCAGAAGTAGATCACCAGGCCTTTCTTCTGAGGTGCCTCCAACCTTTCAGATAGCAGCCAAGTGCTTTCACTGTTTGCACCATTCAGGGATTCCTAAATCTACCTGCATCCCATCCTTACCCTCTGCAACCCCAGTGAGCCTTAGCATAGACTTCCTCCATCCTGGGAGTTCTCCCCCATCTTCTTAGAAAACATCCTACTTCTTCCTTCCACATCCTTCTCAAATATACTGCCTTCAAGAGGGCTTTTAGTCAAAAGCCATTCCCGTGCTGGCCCTGAGCTTAACCCATGGAATTTATTCAACTGGAGTGTCCCAGGCCCACTCTCCTGCCCTCCAGGCCCACAGAGGGATAGAGGGGTATCTGCATCAGGGTAATGTGAGGCTTAAGGGAGTCTGAGGTTCTGAGTTGATAGACTTGCCCCTGGTCTAAGAGGGGCAGCACAGGGGCCTACCATTACTCTGTATAACTAATTGTTGGATTGTTTCAGGGGGGTCATAGCCATTCATGGGAGCATTTAGCTTGAAATCCAACACCACTAGTACCACACCTTATAATCCGCAAGTGTCTAGCACCACTGTAGTCAAGAGTGGAATCCTTCCATTCTGTTCTCTCTGGCTTCATTCTTCTTATAGTCTGGTTCCTGGCTCCTTGGCACTGAGTGAATTGTCAGTGTCCAGGGTCAACCAGGAGACCTCAGTGCATCCAGCCCAGGTGACTTTCCAACACGTAGTTCCTTGCCCTTAGGTTTGACTATTTATCTTTCAATCTTGCCTGAAGACTGCCTCATCTTTTTCCCAGTGGGAGGGCTCGTGGATTCAAACCACCTGGTTGGGACTGGCAGCCCAATCTCATCATGCTCTGGCTCAGCCCCTCCACCAGACACCCCTGGCTGCACCTTGTGGCCTTTGATACCATCAGAGAAATGAGAGAACTAGAGTTGGGAATAGGAGGTGGGAATAGGCCAGTAACCCTGGGGCAGGACTGGGTTCAGAGGCCTTGGCTTAGACTTGGAGAATCGTCTGCTTCTCCTGCACGCTCAGGCCCCCATCCCTGTATGTCTGGCCAGTTCTCCTTCTGCCAGGGTTGCTCTCCTTGGTTAAGTAGGATGCCTGAAGTCCCTTCTTGATTGTGATGTCCCATAGCCTACCCTCAGGCAGGTGGCTATCTCAGTACAGGCCTTAGCAGTTCCCACTCCCACCCATCGCCTCTAATTTAGTGTAGGGAGGGTGTGGCAGATCTTTCCCAGGTCCCCTTCAGCAGCCAGGAATAGAGGATAAGGGCAGGAGGGATGGGAAGGAGGTGCCTCCATGTGATTATTGACCCAGTAGACACGGAATACAGCGGAGCTGACTCAGGCTTGGGTGGCCATACTTTTCTCTGGTTCTGGTGGCTCTGGCCTGCACTGGCTGCAGGACCACACTTCCAGGTCTCCAAAGCACCAATGGAAAAGAATGTGTCCAACCTTACTCCATCTCAGCAGGATCCCTGGGACTTGACCTTCCCTTGAAAGGCAGCTGCTGACTTGGCCATGGCAATCCCTAAGGGCTAATTTGCTATATATTGTGAGGAGCCATCCAGGGTAGAGCAGTCAGAGCATTGCCCTGGGAGATGTGCCCCCTGACCCATGTGTCTCAGCCCTTCCTGTTGTCCTCTGCAGCCTCACACTGCCTAGTAACCTCCTTTGCCCAGGTCTGGTAGTGGTTCCTGAGAGCATCTACCCATGGCTGAGGTAGCAGAAGTGGGGGGTGTCACTCTGCTGCCACCGACGTGACTGATGACACCTCTTCTTGCGAGCAGGGAGCAGGCCAGGACATGCCTGGGGCTGAGATGTAGTTGCTTTGGCTTAACCCTGTGGGGGAGGCAGGAGGCTGAGGTTCTGAAACTCAGCCCGGATGAGGATGAGGGTGTGGAGAAGAAAGACCTAGCGTGGCTGCTGACTTTCACCCTCAAGATCAGGAATGAAGACCTTGCCCCCTCCAAATTCAAGCCCTGTTCTTGATATGGGCCTGAAGCCTTGGGTTCTAGTTTCCTGCCTTTGGAGCAGGGAAGGAGGCAGTTCAAGACAAGTAATTCCTGTTAGGTAGCTCCTCTGCCCAGCTGTGCTTTCCCAGAAAGGAGGAAGTAGGGAGGGATTAATAAATAGTAGCCAAAGGTGTTTTGAATTCAAAAGAAACACACACACACACACACATACACACAAAACAAACAAACCAAAACACACACACATATAATCCACAATCTCCACACAAAGGTTTTTCAATTTGAGAAAGTAATTATAGCCAAAAGAACCAAACTCACTGCCATCGAGTCAATTCTGACTCACACAACTCCCACTGGGTTTTCAACACTGTAAATTGTTACAGAAACAGACTGCCTCATCTTTTTCCCAGCAGGAGGGCTCGTGGATTCAAACCACTGACCTTTTGGTTAGCAGCCAAATGCCTTAACCACTATACCACCAGAGTGCCTTAGTAATTGTGGCAGTTAAGAGTAATTAGCCAGACCTTTGCAAAGGCAGAGAGCACTACTTTAATTCATTGTTGTGAATCTGATGAGATGCCCCCAGCACACCCTCTGTTTAGTAAGCGTCTGCTGATTGGCAGGGACAGCTTTTAATGATGCTAATAGAATTTCCCACCAGCCACTCCTCGGAAGGAAGGTTGGGCAATCCTACTTCCGTAGTGATACTGCCTTGGAAACCCAAGGAGGGGTTGCTATGAGTCGGGGGGCCGACTCGACGGCACATAACAACAACAACAACAACAACAACAACAACAATAGAATTTCTGGGATGATCGAAATGTTCTATGTCTGTGCTGTCCAATATGGTAGCCACTAGCCATATGTGGTTCTTAAGCACTTGAAATGGGCCTAGTGTAACTGAACCCAAACCAAACACACTGCCATAGAGTTGATTCCAACTCATCGTGATCCTATAGGCAGAATAGAACTGCCCCATAGGGTTTCCAAGGCTGTAAATCTTTACCGAAGCAGACTGCCACATCTTTCTCCTGCTGAGCAACTGGTGGGTTCTAACTGCCAACCTTTTGGTTAGCAGCAGAGCACTTAACCACTGGGCCACCAGGGTTCCTAGTATAACTGAGAGACTGAATTAAAAAAAAATTTTCAACTTTTAAATTAACCACATGGAGCTAGTGGCTATCAGGTTGGACAGCACAGCTTAGCAATTGATCTGTATTGTTAGCCCTCAGCCCCAGGGTGTCTTACTGCTGCTGTGAGAGAGAACTGTGCTGGACCAAGAGCCACAGGAGGTTGAATAAGGGCTTGGCAGGGCCGTGTGGCTGCCCCTGGAGACTGAGATAGTGAGCAGCCCTTGGGAACCACTTGTATTTGGCTGGCTGACAGATGTGCTCCACCCACCCCCAAGCTCTGTGAAGGCAGTATTTTTGTAGGTTCCTCACTTTGCATTATCCATGTTTTGGCCTATAAAAGTCTAATCTGTTTGTTTTTATAAAGATCTGGGATGATGAGATGTCTTTCCTCCCAGACAATATATTCAACACACATGACTCTAACTCTGTATCATTAGGCCATGATAGGAACAATTACACAATTTCTACACTTGACATCACAGAGAATAAGAGTCTATTCTCTGGGTTTTGTAAAAGATCAGAGGCTGGGAACTAGGACCCAGTAAGAGGGTGTCTCCTCAATTGAACCCCAAAGCAAAGGGTAGTTGTGAGCCAAGCAAAGCATGGGCTGACTGGTTACGTGGAGCCATGCACAGTATTCCTCACAAAGTTTAAGAACAGGTCTGGGTAAAGTCTTTATTTCATTTATGTTGCAAAGCAGGGGTTGCCAAACCTTTCTGTAAAGGGCCAGGTAGTAAATAATTTAGGCTTTGTGAGCCGTACTGTCTCTGTTGCAATTACCCAACTCTGCCATTATAGTGTGAAAGCAGATAGACATTATGTAAACAAATAAGTATGACTGTGTTCCAACAAAACTTTATTTATAAAAACAGCTGGATTTGGCCCACAGACCAGAGTTTGCTAACTCCTTTTGTTTACAATATTGATTACAGGATAGCTGGAATTGTTTACTTTTCTTACATTTTTCTGGGTAATGACCTCTGCATTAGACGCTAGCTAACAAGAGAGCTAGTAAAGGGTAGTGGTTCAGAGCACAGCATCAGTGGTTACACTGTCTGGGTGTGAATTCTGACTCAATCACTTTTTGACTAATTGGTCCAGGCAAAGTTACTCAACTCCTGAGCTTTGATTTCCTCAACTGTTACCTGGAGGTGGTGATACCAAATGAAACCAAACCCATAGCTGTTGAGTTGATTCCGACTTGTGGCATCTCCATCTGTGTCAGAGTAGAACTGTGCTCCACAGGGTTTTCAAAGGCTGTGATCTTTTGGGAGTAGCTTGCCAGCCCTTTCTTCTGAGGTGCCTCTGGGTGGATTTGAACAGCCAACCTTTTAGTTACTAGCCGAGCACTTAACTGTTTACGCCACCCAGGGACTCCAATATAGAGAAAGTACATAGAAAAGTAAATGGCACAATAGGCATATGAGCTATTATTAATTCTCCTTACCTTTGTTCTTAAACGTGGTAGAAATGTTTTGTGAATTCCATTAGGTCCCCTCAGGCTCATTGTCAAGATCTGAAGGGTGATGGCAAAAATAGATTCCCTCTGATTCCCTGGCTGCTGTGGCTGTGCCTCCTGGAAATGCTGTATTCCATTTCCTTCATGTGATTTGCTATATCACCAATTGAAGAGCCTTCCTTAGAACTGGCCCTCCACATCCTAACTTGAAACAAGTGCTCACAGTCCCACAGCTCAGATTTCCATCTCTCACCGCTTATGTTGCTGATAAAGCACGAGAGCTCAGATTTGTGATCCATGAGTTGAGTTGTCTTTGTGGTGTCAGAAGACTGTATAATGGCTAGCAAAATTATTTTCATCCAAAAGCCTCAAAAAAATGTATTTTTGCCTTTCCCTTCCACTGTCAGGAAGCCCTGCCAGAGGAAGCCCTGGCTTCTTCTGACAAATCAGGAAACTGTGGCCCAGAGCAGAGAAGTGGCTTTTTCAAGATTGTATTGCTAAGGGCAAATAAAGAATTCAAATCCAGGTTTCTCATCTCCTAGCCCCTGATTTTTTACTTTTTTCTATTTCCAAGTATTAAATTCATACCCAATGTATTTAGCACATGGTGGGCATTTCTTTATAAGGGGATGCTGTCTTGGGGGAGGAGAGATTAGGCTGGGGGTGCTTGGTACTGCTGGTCACCCATGTCTATGCAGTGGTTTTCCTCATCTACTTTTCTACTCTTCCCTTTAGCTTTCCCAGAGCTCAGTGCCTCTGATGACAGTTCCCTGTCAGATGGGCTGCTACCAGAGGAGGGTGAGTGGAGCTGTTTGGGGATGATTGCCTGAGCTAGGCATTTAACTGCAAGGTCTAAGGGTCTTGGTAGGGCTTAAAAAAAAAAAAAAAAAACACCCACTGCCATTGAGTCAATTCTGACTCATAGTAGAACTGTCTCATAGAGTTTCCAAGGCTATAAATCTTTACAGAAGCAGACTGCCTTATCTTTCTCCCATGAAGCAGCTGGTGGGTTCAAACTGCCAACCTTTTGGTTAGCAGCTGAATGAATTAACCACTATGCCACCAGAGCTCCTTGGAAGGCTTGTTCATGAGAATTCGAATAAGGAGTGAAGTAGTCCAAAAGCTGGTGAAGACAGGGGGATCCCAGGGTTGAGGTCTCAGCTTGGACCAGAAGTCGATTTCTGCATGCTCAGTTGAGGGTGGGGATATGCTGACCCCTTTCCCATTCTAGAAGCTAAATAATTTTGATGGCAGGGAAAGATGAATTCTGGAAGAGCTTATTGGCTCCAGGTGCCCCTGCCCTCACCCTGGAGCTTTATTCCATGATGTACCTGTCACAGTCCAAGAGTGGTCTGGCCACAATGACTGCTCCCCAGAGTACGGCTTTTTGAAAAGAGGGCAGCACTGAGGGAGGAAACACAAGTTTAAAGATTAAGAACAGGTTTGCACACCCTGAAATGGCCCAAGAAGGTGGCATAGTTCGCCCATGGGAGTGCCCAGGCCAATAAGGAAACAGGGTGCATGGGTATGGTAAGAACAAGAAAAATGGATAAACAAAAAGCAAACTGCAGATGTGGGCACCAGGCACCAGTGGTTAGAGTAGAGTCAATCTGGGGAGGCTTCTTGAAGGAGGAGGTGTAAATAGCACTGAGGGAGTCAGTACCAAAGGAGAAGAAAACATTTTTGAGCATCAGGAGCTGGAGCTCTGGCCTGGGGCAGTGGGACAAGTCAGCCACAGGGAAGGAGGGCAAAGGCCCAAGCTGCAATCATTCTTGCTGGGCCGGTTCCCCCAGCTGCTGCCCTCACCAGGTTTCTTTTAACCCCTGCAGAGGAATTCCAAGTGCCAAAAGCACCTCCAGTGTCTCCTGTCTTGCCTTCCCCACCTCGTCCACCCCTGAGCCTTGAGGGGCTGCAACCGGTAGGACTTGAGATTGGGAACCTGGAGCAAGCCCCGATCCAGAACAGCCCCTGGAAGGAGACCAGCCTGGACCACCCCTATGAGAAGCCCAAGAAGTCTTCTGAGCCCAGTAGCGAGTCTAGGTCAGGGCGGGGAGGAAGACAGGGCTGGGAGCAGGTGGGAACTGTGCTGGGTGGGAATGGTTTTGATCTGAGCAAACGGAAGAGGGGGGAAGGTATGGGAGATCACCCCCTCCTTTGCTGTATGCTGGTGGGTGTGTGGACTTGGTAGCTCCCCAAGCATGCTGGCAATTTTGCACCATTGTACCCACCAACCACTCCTTAGAAGGAAGGTTGAGCAATATACTTCCACAGTGTTACTGCCTTGGAAACCCAAGGAGAAGTAGCTATGGGTCAGGTCCAACTCAACAGCATATAACAACAACAACTTTGGGGACCCTTTAACTATGCCTCCATTCCTCTGAGTACCTTGAAGGGAGGCATTCCTGCCACTGACCTGTCTCCAATCTCTCTGCAGCAGCCCAGCCACCACACCACAGGATGGGCCCAGCATGTCCAGCCCATGGCTACCAGAGCCAGCCTCCTTCCATGTGGTTCCCATCCATAGTGTTCCCAGCCCACGGCAGGGCCGCACCAGTGCCCCAGCCACCCCCGAGATGCAGGGGAGGAGGGGCCAATCTCAGTCTCTGAGGTAAGAGATGGCCAGCCCAGAGATGTTAGGGCAGAGAGAGGACACACTATCTATCCAGAGGGTGGTAGCTTCTAGGCACAAGTGAGATTCCCCATGAATGACACACGGCTAGTATCCTTTGGAATATCTTCTTGGACTACCTCTCAATAGACATAATGCCAACAGCCAGTCATTTGTGAACAGGTCGTTTTGTTCCAAAAACTCCAGTTTCATTTTTTTTATTTGCGTAACTCAATTCAAGTTTTTGTCATGTTCTCCTGCAGATATATTTGTGATTGTTTTATTATTGGTCACTAACAACGGCTGATTTACTTTTTTGATTAATATATTGATTTAAGTACCATGTCACCTGCTACTTGGTAATAGTTAAGTGACTGAGTCATACCAGGCAGTGTTAACCCACCACACAGGGGCCCTGGGCACCACCATGTTATGGCTGAGGTCTTCTGTCAGCTTAAAAGTGACTTGTCGGACAACACTGGACTGAGCAAGAAATTTTAAATTTCATGTACCAGGCCCATCTTGACAGCATAAACAGTGCCTTTGTGCAGATTAGAAAAGGGTGCCCCCTTTAGACAAACACAACCCAGACAGGTGGATTAGCAGAAAGTCTGGATTTCAGCTTTTGTATAGCTACCCTGCGAACCACATGCAGCTTTTATGCATTCAAGTTAAATATCTGACCATTTTTAAGTGAACAGATTCTGTCCATGAAATGCCACTGAACACAGTGTGCCTAAAATGGCTGGAAAGATATTTATTTTGCCTACTTTACACAAACGTGTGAGTGAAACAGTGATACCAGTGTCATGCCATGACACCAGTAAAGTTGTCTTTGAATTGACCCTGACTCATAGGTGTCAGAGTAGCAGAACTGTGTTCCATAGGGTTTCCAATGACTGATTTTACAGAAGCAGATTGCCAGGGCTTTCTTCCAAAGCACCTCACTTGAACCTCCAATCTTTCAGTTAGCCGCCACTCTTTGCACCAGCTGTGGACTCCATGCCATGTAGGAATGTGCTGAATCCTCACATTAGGACAAAACAGTGCTTGTTTCTGGGAGATGTGCCTTGAGGCCCATGCATATGTACCATACCTTGGTCTCCTCTCATCTGTTTGACCCCATCCCCACCAAGTCTTGAGTGTTGTCTCCCAGACTCAGTGTGTCTCTCCTTCCTCCCTCAGAGTGGATTCCTTCCGGGTGGGAATGGAGGGTCGAGGCCGCAGTGCCTTTCCCCGCCGCCGACCCACTTACTACACTGTGACGGTGCCAGACTCTTGCTTCGCCTCCACCAAACCCCCACTGCCACCCCCTGCCTACCACTCCTGCTCGGAAGACAGCGGCTCGGATGTCTCCAGCATCTCCCACCCTACCTCGCCCGGCAGCAGCAGCCCCGACATCTCCTTCCTGCGGCCTCTCGCCTCACCTGAGCCCCTTCGCCACTGTGGGGCTTGGGGTCCAGCTGGAGGGAGAGAGCTGACCACTCACTACCCTCAGCTACTGTTGTCTCCAGAATACTTCCCAGCAGGGCGGTATGTGATGGTGGCCGAGAGCCACCAGCCACCGGGCAAGTGGGAACTACGCCCTGTGGCTTACGAGGAAGAGGGGGCCCCTCTACGCTACCAACGGCTGGTGCCCGCCCACAGCCGCATCGTGCGCACGCCCTCGCTGAAGGACAGCCCTGCGGGCCGGGGCCTCAGTAAGGCGGCTGTCTCGGAGGAGCTCCGGTGTTGGCACGAGCGTGCACGCCTGCGGAGCGCTCGCCCTCACTCACTGGACAGGCAAGGGGCATTTCGCGTCAGGAGCCTGCCGCCAGGAAGAGAGAGCTTCTCTCGAGCCCTGGGCCCACGGATACAGGTATAGTTGCTCTAGGGGCACTCCGGGGCCAGGCAGGACTCCCCTCCTGGGCTGGCTGAGGAGCTCTGTGATTCTAGCAGGTTCAGGAATAGAGAGATACAATGCCTGCAGCCCAGTGGCCGGCTAATCCCCAGCTAGGAAGAACTTGCAAAAAAAAAAAAAAAAAATCATTTCCTCTTGGCTTTGGAAGGCTCCCTGGACTCCCTGAGGCGCCTCCTAATTTTGCCTTATCCGTCTAGGCCAGAGCACATACCAGAGTACACTGGTGGAGATGATCCTTGCAGATAGCTGAGATTTTTTTTCTTCTAATGGCTCCACAGATAATCCACAAAGCCAATAAACCTCTGTTCATAATTGAAAGCCCAATCCAAATTTGGTGTCTGAAATTAACCCCCAGATATCCTGGCTTTTGAGGGCCCAGGATAAAGGGAGAGTGTGAAAATGAGTTTGCTGAAAGCAGAGCCTATGAATGCCTGTTGGCTAACTTCCTCCATGACACCTCCCCCTACCACACACACATTAGAGAGTAGAACTGCCACAGGGCTTCTAAGGCTGTAAATCTTTAGGGAAGCAGACTGCCTCATCTTTCTCTGCAGAACAGCTGGTGGGTGTAAACTGCCAACCTTTTAGTTAACAGCCCAATATTTTAAACACGACATCACCAGAGCTCCTCAAAGACCTTCAAATTCCAGTTCTGCTATTTACAAGCTATATGACTGGGCGAAATGGAAGTCTGGTGGTGTGGTGGGTAAGTCATCTGGCTGCTAACCAGAAGGTCAATGGTTCAAACCCATCAGCTGCTCTGAGGAAGGAGGATGGGGCAGTATACGTCCATAAAGATTTACAGCCTTGGAAACTCCTTGGAGGTTGCTATGAGTAGAAATCGACTCAATTGCAGTGAGTCAGTCTGAGTATGTAAAATGGGCTTAGTAAAATATCTCACAGGGCTGTCGAGAGGTTTAAACGAGTTAATATACATCAAGTGTTGAGAGCCATGTCAGTGGGTAATAAGAACTGGATAAGTGATATTCTTATAATCTAGGGCCCTAGAAGTCCAGGCACCAGGCTGGTAGGTGGCAGATAGGATAGAGCACCCTAACATGAAGCAGGGTAGCCACCTGGTTTCCATGTGCCTACCCCAGTTTGTTCATTCAGGAAGTGGGGTTAACACACATGAATCATTTCTTTATCCTTTCTTCCTGATAACAGAGGGCTCTGCAGGGGACATGACCCAGAAGTTACCAATAGGCTGCTTCTTTGAGACCCAATAATCCCAGCAGGACTAGCCAGCTGCATGTCCCTTCCCTCCACCAACCAGGTCTTAGAGCTGCAGCTGGCATCCCGGGCCTGGCAGCAACCCTGGCCCCATTCCCAGGCCGCACCCTCCAGCTGACATGCTTTTCCCTTCATTCGAGCTTGGACCTGCTGTTGGCCCAGGCCCAGCCCATCCCAACAAGACAGACCGGGAGGGTGACGAGAAGTGAGCCAGAAAAGGGGGAGAAGTCAGGGTGCCTGACTTTCACACTCCAAAGGAATGTAGAGTGAAAGATGGATAAAGGGTGATTTATGGGTGGCAATGAGCCTCCTGTGGGGGTGGGGGAGGGCTTAGTGCTGGAGCTAGTGCCAGGATGGATCAGCATCTTAAAGAGGATGGTGTAGCTGCACTTGCTATGTGGACCTCTCTACCTGGTTCATTCACCCACCTCTCCTTTCTTCCTGGCCCTAGCATGTGCCCACAGTGTGTGTGCTGCGGAGATCACCTGAGGGAACCCCTGTGCAAGTCTTTGTACCTGAGAATGGAGAGATCATCAGCCAGGTGTAACAAGGCCAGGTGTCACCCTGTGCTCCAAATGCCTGGACCCGACTGCTGGAAAAGACTGTTTCATGGCAATGCCAGGATGAGACATTGCCCCCACGTCCACCCTTTGAGCACCTCCTTTCAGCTTCCTTACCCCCATCGCAGGTCGATGACCTGGAGCTGAAGCTTTTTTTTTTTTTTAAAAAAAAAAAAAACAGTTTTGATTCAGAAGTCCTGGCTTGAGGATTTGTGTGTGTGTTGTCCTACGATCACTGTAATATAACTGTGCTTTATCCCCCCAGACGCTAGCCTGCTAGACTTGAGACCCTGCCTGTCTGACTAACAGCATTTGTCTCCTTATGCAAGACAAGTGGTAGGGGGTGCATGAAGTCTGAGGGCCAGATCCTTTATGCAATGGTTTGAAGAACTTCCCCAGAGAACAACCCCTTAGTCCTCTTGTCTCACTGTTGCTGAAGGCTGGACATGGCATACAGTCATAAACAGGACTCTCCCCATTACCCAGGTCTCTGGGTACCATAGGACTTGCATCCTAGCCTGGGCTGGGGCTGAATCTCCTCCCCCTTTTATAAAAGAGGGTGTGTGTGTGCTCTGTGGTGCACACACCAAGTGGTAGGTTATAAAGGTCATTATATGCTGGTGGAATATTGTCTTCCTGGACTCTGCTATTTTCCCACCCCCATAAACTTCCTTTAGGGGCCTCAATCACTATGCCTTCTCTATGTCCTCTTAGCTTCCAGCATCTAGTCAACCCTTTAGCCCTGAATTTGAGGCTTCACCTGATTGTAGCATCTGAGGGCTGGGCTGGGGACTGGCCTGTGGTGTAGGTTGGTAGAGAGAAACCCCACCCTTTGACCACTATCTCTAAGTATTGCATGGACTGTAATCTCACTACACCCTAATGTCTTCTTGTCATAGTCCTAGAAACCAACAAACCAAAACCTTACCAATATTTTTAGAAAGACATTTTTTGTGGCATGTTCTCAGAGGGGCCACCGCTCCTACTCCCCTCCAGCTATTCTGCTCTGAGTTTGTGGATTTCTCTTGAAAGATGGAATGTCCTTATTTATGCAAACATAGAAATACTCACCCCTGAGCACTAGTGAGATGTTGATTTTCTTAGAGGACATTAGTTATCCCAGCTGCTCAGGGACAAGCCTGGCAACTGCCATCTGATAATCCATCTGATGGCATAATAGAACATCTGATAGTCATAATAGACCATCTGATAGTCCTTGGGTTCTCTTGTTCTAGGACCTTCTTTGCTACCAGGAAGGGATCCTGCTTCAATAAAAAAGCAACTGATGTGAAGCTAGGAGAGTGTAGGGAGAGCTGAGTCTGATTTTGCCCATGTAGAACCCTCTCCACCTCAAGTGCCCTGGATCTCTTGGGCACAGACTATGACTTAAAGCACTAGGAACGTTGATGCTAACCCAAGGGACACATAATTCTCCCAAATAGAGAGAAAGTGGAATTGCACAAGGGCGCTGAGAGGAGAACAAGATGGCCTGGCAGCAAGAGGAGTCTGAGGGGAAGCACCTGGCATTTCTTTCACCATGCCCTTACCACATCCTGCACCTCCCTGACCCCTTTTTGGTTCAGCCCTGCTACCCATTATGTTTTCATGCCCTACTTTGGATGCTATTCTCTTCCAATTTATCTCAGTCCTTTTCCCCAGTAGACAGCCACTTTCCCACCCCCTCTGCCTGGTGCCCAGAGCTCCTTAGGCTGAGCCAAGAGACATCTGAGTATTCCTTCCCCCAACTGAGGGTCCTTTATATTAACTTATTGGTCTGACACCCGGTACAATTGCAAAGTGGCTGTGTACTCAGCTGCAGGGCTGGAACTGTAGGTTTTAGTGCCAAACACTTCAATAAAGTCTTTTTTGTTATTGATTGGATGAGTTGATGATGACAGGTTTTTTATGCCAAGTTTCCTGAGCAGAGGCTCTTCCCCCAGTGCTCAGGTGTGTGCCCAAGGTGGGAAAGTCGCCTGACCTCTCCATCTGGTCTGGCCAGGCCCCTGTGGGGTGAGGGAATGGGCAGGGTGATGGAGGGAGGACCTCAGGTTCTCTGCTTCCCTGGCAGGATGGAAACAAGCTCCACCCCTGTCAAAAAACCCTCCTGGGTTCTAGGATCACATACCCAACAGGAACTTTTTTTATTTTCAATTGAAAAATGCAAGTGGGCATTTAAAAAAAAATTATGAAAATATACACAACAAAGCATATACCAATTCTACAATTTCTACATTTCATTTACATTGATTACATTCTTCACATTGTACAACCATTCTTGCTATCCTTTTCCAATTATTCCACCCCATTAAGATAAACTCTCTGGCAGCCTAAAGAGGTCTGGCTTCTTCAGGGCCAGGTTAGACTGTAGTGAGAGAAGGGGTGTGGCTAAGAGTCTTCAGCCCCATGAGGGTGTGTCTAGAGCTCTTGATTACCCTGTGAGAGTGGAGGCTCTCAGGAGAAAAGGCTCCTTCCCCAAAGCTGAAACACAAAACCTTGGAGTGAGGTGGAGGAGGGGCTCTCCACAAGGCCACTCCTTCTTTCTCTAGGCAGCCTCTCCTTCCACCAGGGGTCCTCGGGATGAGGGTGGGAGCTCCCACTCAGACCACTCCTGAGCCTGACCTACAGGGGTCGCTCCAGGGCCCTGAGGCACAGCGCCCCCTGGAGCCACAGTATCCAGGAGAAGCGTGTGCCCTGGATCTGTGAGGCAACAAAGTGTGTCAGGTAGAAGGGCCCTACACTCCTGTCCCCCTCCACAGCAAAAGATGGGGTAGGGCAAGAAGGGCCTGGGCAGACGCCGGGGTCGGGATGATTCCAGCCCTGCCCTGGGGGCTGGGACTTGGGGACCACTGGAGTCTGTGGGCTTCAGGGGCTTGGTTCACTTGGGCCTGGATGCTCCAGTTTAGGACGAAGTGGGCTACGAAGGGTGGCAGCTCCAGGGTTCTCTGCAGAGGTTGTGGACATCCTGATTTCAGATTCTGAACATCTTCCACTTACCTATGACTTGTGAGGAAGGGGGCACTTGAGTTTATATTTTATACTTGGGATGAGTTAGAGCCAGAGAAACCTTGATCAAGTGTCTACATGTTCCCAGGGGGTGACCTGTCTGTGGAGGCAGCTCCCCAGTAACAGGATAAACCAAGACCAACTAAAAGGAACCTTCCTCGCTAGGGGTATATGTTTGTGTGTGTGTGCAGCATGGCTCTTCTAAGAGCAGCATGCAGTGGGATGTGCCCATTTGGGGACCTGGAGCTCAGGGTAGAGAGAGAGAACCAGCTTGTGTAGTCATTTCTTTTTGGTCCCCAAACAGGTTTCCCTGTGCTATGTCTGGGAGAGGTAGACATCTGGGGACTCTTAGTAAGGGTACTTTATAGGGTAGAAGTTGGGCTATGGATTGGAAAATGAGAACAGGAGCCTCTGGAAAGAGAGGCTTTAGGATTTCAGTGTCAAGAGCCCCCAAGGCAGAGGGATGGACACTGACCTGTGAGTCTGAGATCTCCCCTCGCAGGAGATACTGAGTGGCAGATTCCTAGGCAAGTAAAGTGAACAGAGCCCTTCAGAGGGCTCCGTTTCTGGAATGGGAAATGTGAAGGAAATGGAAGCTGACAGTGGAACCCTGCACCTTGGCTCTGCTAAGCCAGTTCATTTTCTTGCAAATGGCCAGGGTCTGCCTCCTGTAGCTTTACCCCTCAAGTGAACAAGTGAATGGAGAAGCTGCCTCCCCAGGAAGGAGCATCACACGCCGGCCCGGCTCTGTTCTCACAAGCTGCAGGGTGCTGTCCCAGTCGTGCAGATGAATCTGTTTCCCACCAGGCAACAACTAAGCAAAGACACCTTCAGGCAATCTGCTTTCCGTGTCTCTTGGAGATCGAATTTAATGGGTGAGCGGTTGGCTCTGGACTGGGCTGTCTCTCAACTCAGTGCTGTGGCTTGGAATTGGCAGTGATGGTGTGGCCTTTGCCAAGATGATATTTGATGGGCAGTCAGCTTCTGGCTGCCCTTTTCATAGCTTTAGCCTCTGCATCCTGTGCTCTTCAGACCTGCTTTCCTAGAGAAGCCTGAAGCTGGGCCAGATACGGGATATAGCCTGGGGCTTTGAGTTAAACCCCATCTAACTGACAGCTCTTCAGGGGGAGCCAGGGCAGGTCTTTAGACAGTATCTATATTGCAACAACTCACACATCGATACCTGCATTCCACACTCCAACCCTGACTTCCAGACTCTCAACTCTAACTGCCTGTTTCTCTACTTTGATGCCTGGTGGGTGTCTCAATTTTAACACATTCACAACTGAACCCCTGCTTTCACTCCTAACCCCACAACTACTCCTACCAATAGTCTCCATCTCAATTAATGGCAACTCAATCCTTCCAATTTCTCAGACCAAAAATCATGATTTCTGTCTTTTTTTTTTTCATATCCCACATCCTGTCCATCAACTATGTCTTTTGGTTCTCTCTTCAAAATAGACACAGGATTTAACCACCCACTCCTCACCATCTCCTCCATGCCCTCTGTGGTGAGCCACTGTCATCTATCCCCTGGATTACGGTCACAGTTACCCAACTGGTCTCCTTGCTTCTGCCTACATTGTGACATGCTCTATTCCACCTCCACCTGCACCTTGGTTTATTCTCAACTAAAAAGGCAGAGTGATCTTGTTAAACAAAAGTCAGATCTCATCACTCCTTTACATAAAACCCTCTCAGGCCTCCCATTTGGTTCAGAGCAAAAGTCAAAGTCCTTAAATAGCACACACAGCCCTCATCACCTGTCCCATTACCTCTCTGCTTCAACTCCTATCTCTTACCACTCTTGTCCTTGCTCTCCCCACTCCAGGCACACAGGCTTCCAGCACTTCATGGAGCATGCCAGGCATGATCCTGCCCTAGGGCCTTTGCATTTGCTGCTCCTTTGGCCTAGACTGTTCTTCCTCCAGATATTTGTATGACTTGCTCCTCACCTCCTTTAAAAACAAAAACTCCAAAC